TAGAGTCCTCAAACCATGTAGTTAGCCTAACCCCACCTAGGGTCTGCACATCCATAAAGATTAGTGAATTTTAAATTCTGTCTATCATGAGTTTATATTCTGGTAGGGGAGATAGAGCATGTAAATATCATTGATTACAATATAATACAATATGTGGAATGATATGTGTTTTTAATAAGATATAGATGTGGCATAGAGAGAATATTTCACTCTGTCATTAGGGGTTTGCAGGTCAGAGAATACATCAGTAAAGAGGTGATGCCTCAGTATGACTTTGGAGGATAAATAGTAGTTTGCTTAATGAACTTATGGAACTGGAAAAGGGATTCCTTAAATTTTGAAGGCATACAACATGATCTGTTTTAGGAATGACAAATTAGTATGTATTCAAAGGAGCAGAAACTTTGAGCTGTGCAGGGATGGGAGAGGAAGCTAGGAAGTCATGAATATTGTTTAATGCTTTGTAAAATTTTGTGGTGATGTCTGTAGGAAGGTGGATAGAAGCATAGATATAGAACCTTAGGCTTACCCATTCTGTCTGTTGGATTTGAGGCAACTGTGTTCAGGAATAGTTTCCTGATGGAAGTTTCCTATTCAGTTACTCTTTCTCCTTTTTAACTGTCTTCACCTGGGCCTTAAGTTGTAGTGATCTCCCAATCTTCTCAAGATCACCAGATAGTTTTCTTTGATGATTTTCTTTGAAAGATGTCACAAGTGTTTTTATAGCCAGTAGAGTTCTAAGAACAAATCAAGTTTAAAGCAATTTGGAAATTTCCAAGAAAGTGGGTTCCTAGTTGAAATGATAACTAAGTTTTATATTTGAATCTAGGCAGTCTGGTTCATTTTGCTTTGACTTGAGAAGGGGTATTTTAATATTCTGTGTGTTCTAAGCAATGCTTTATACTTGTTTAAACATTTTTTGAAGTTTGATTATATGTTTATATAATATCTATTTGTAATAAATTATTTTAAGGAAATAAATCTTTCCAGCAATAATTTATGTAGCCTTACATTTTTTCTTTGTTCCGGCTAGATGTGATTCTGGCCCTTTGTTCCCTTAAGAGTCATATTATGTTTATTTTATGGAAGATATCATTATAATTATGCTATCAACATACAATATTTCTTTACTTTGATACCTTCTGCTTACCTTTCTTAGAAATTAATCAAGATGTTTAATTGCTTATTTATGTGCAGTTTAGTTGAGTTATTATTGTATTGAATAGGGGAAACAACACTTTTTTGCTCTAATACCTTCTTGAATTATTGTAATTAAAAAATTGAGAAGAGTGGTTTAATGCATTTTAAGTGAAACAGAACTTTTTATTTAATGTATCTTGAAAGGAAAAAAGAAACCTTTCCTCTCAGTTAAATTAGAGATAAAGAAAGGGGAAAGAAATTGAGATGCTCTTTTATAAATAGCCTTTTTAAATAAGTGCTACTTTTGTGTCTCTGGTCGGAAAACATACAGTGTTTTAGTAGTGTAAAATAAGGGACAAATGACCTAAAATGTGTCATTTGCCCCTTCTTTGACACACTCCAGGTAGTCTAAATTTTGCTTAAATTCTTAGAAGAAAGGAGGTATTAGCAACATCCCTTCCTTGTTCTTGCAACAGCTTTGTCAACACACTACAACTGCCATATTTCTCTTTTTCTCTGCTCCAGCTTTTACTGAGACAACAGCTTCTTCTCACTTTCAGAAAAAAATTTATAATAGTTTTTCGTAGTTGGAGAGGCTGGCTATCCTATATTAAATGATTTCCCCTTTAGATTTCTTTTGTTATCCTATAATAGGGTCTTCCACATCTTAAATTGTACATTTTGTTTGTTTTAACGTTTTCATTTAAGTTTTTGCTTAAAATTAGTTTTGATGACTTTATATAAATAATAAATATGTTGCTGATGAAAGCGTGCACCTCAGATGAGACTTGAACCCATTGGCCGGGACTCAAACCCAGCCAGAGCCCAGACTGGGACTGGAACCCACGGGCTGGGACTCGAACCCAGCCAGAACCCAGATTAGGACTTGAACCCATGGGCTGGGACTCAAACCTGGCCAGAACCCAGATTGGGGCTTGAATCCACGATCTTTTAATTGAGAGCACACTTGGTCTCAGGACTTAGTGAACCTCAGGTTCTTGATATCTCATTGCAGAAAGAATTCAGTGAGAGACAAAGTGATAGATAAGAAGTGGATTTATTTAGAGAGAAACACACTCCACAGACAGAGTGTGGGCCATCTCAGAAGGCAAGAGTCCCCAAAATACAGCGTGGTTAGTTTTTATGGGCTGGGTAATTTCATAGGCTAATGAGTGGGTGGATTATTCCAACTATTTCAGGGAAGGGGCGAAGATTTCCAGGAATAGGGCCACTGTCCACTTTTTGACCTTTTATGGTTGGCCTCAAAACTGTCATGGCGCTGGTGGGTGTGTCATTTAGCATGCTAATGTATTAAAAAGAGCTGTGATGAGGCTCAAGGTCCACTGGAAGTCGAGTATTCTACCATCTTGGACCTAGCTTGTTTTAACCAGTTTTTGTCATGTCCTATGGCTATGTCATTCTTTTAAAGGTTGTGCCCTTCCCCCTTACCTCCTGTTTCACTGAGGCAATTGTTTATTTTTTCACACTATGTCATCTCTATGAGGACCCTGGGAGTGGAGGTGGAGACCTCTCTAGTGTTATTATTGGGAATAGTTGTCTTCTCTGAGCAGCTGATTTGTTTTCATCTTCATCTATGCTAAGGTTTTCACTTGTTTCAGTTAACACAACTCATCCTTCTAAAAAAAATTTATGTCTTTGTTATTTACCTTATTTTATCTATCATTAGACTACTTTCCTGATCTTTTAAAGAATTCAGATTAATTTAGTTATAATTAACAAACAAAACTGTAAAATATTCATCATGGTGACCCAACACATGTATATTCTTTTCCTGATTTTTAAGAAGAGGAATTATTTCTGCAGTGTCTCCAGAGGATTTAATCTTCTTCCCTTTGTTCTCTATTCTCGGTTATGGCAGAGAAAAATCATGGGCCATTCTTACATTGTGAGAGTTTTGTCCAGGGCAACAGTTTAAGAGAACAAAATAGGTTATGAAGTTGACTATGAGTGTCTCCCCTGTTGAATCTTTAAAATATTATTCTTCAATGAATTAACTATAGCAGGCCTCCTACTTATAAAAAGGTAGTATTCTTATACTACCTTTTTGAAATTCAGAATCAATTTTTGCATAGAAACAATATTGTAAGTAGGGATTATGAAATCAGGGTAATTCACAGAAGCCTGGCCCATAATATAAACTGTAATCAAACCAAATAGAATTATAATTAATTTAATATAGTAAAAACTTATATTCTTTTGTATGTAGATACTTGTGAAAAACCTACTATAGACTTGTACAAATTTGGGGTAGACATTTCAGATACTTTCAAGAGCTTTTGGATTGATGATACTGTCTGTCAAGTCTAATTTAATTTTTAAAATATCAAGTGAAACAGAAACTTCTTTTAAATATATTCTTCAGATTTCTTGACAGCTGTATTTGTGCATTCTATGAAAACAGTCATTGAGATGGGATCAACAGTTGGGTCCTTTTATCTTTGTAAAAGTTAGTAGCGCTGTTACAAGTATAGGTAAAAAAGAAAATGTTACTTTTACCAAGCATCATTTGTAATATATTACTGTAAATAATAAAATGTATGTTTAATACAATATCTGAATATGTTAATTCTAAAGTGATATATTCTCTAAATTATAGTGTAAACTAAGACTACTTATATATAACATATAATCTATAGGTGGTTTCCATCCTATGTAAAGTACTTATACATGATATAAGCTAGCCCACAGCAATTATTTAATTTGTCCCATCTTGAAATACTCTATGCTTATATTAATGTTTTAGTCTATTTTTCATTCCAAGAATATAATATTTTAGCCACATTAGGCATTTAATACCTTTCCAACTAGCCTGTAGGAACTTATTGACATTTTGCCCCCCAAAAAGTATGTATGTATGTGTGTATATATATATATATATATATACACACACATATATTTAATAATAATATGTATTATTCTTTGCAGGGGGAAGTGTAGTAAAAGGGGTAGGAAGGGAAGAAATTTTATGACGAGAACTGTGAAACCATTAAGATCATATCTGTGTAATCCTTTTCCCCCTTTCTCTCCTGTCTTCATTACTTCTGAGGGATTAAGGGTGAGGACAGTTGGAGTGAAGAAGCTAGGGAATGTGGGGAAAGTTCAGCAAGCCAGTTGAGGAATGTGTATGTATGAATGTTAGGCAGGGAGTACAGAGGCAGCTAGATCCCTATTCATTTCTCCAGTTACTTACATTCCAGAAAATACTCCATCAAGGTTGAAAACCTGTGTCTTTATTAATAACTTGTCTGCTCTGTAAGCAATGAGAACTTTGGCCTAGAGAGTACTTTTTCTCAGTGGTGCAGTCCTGCCAACCCTGGCTGGCAGCAACAGGGCTGGAGTTCTTTAGAGTGCTCTGAAAGGAGTTAATATAAAGTTAGATTATTGTTTGGATGTTTGTAACTTTGATATTTTGATTTATGAAATTAGGAGTGCTTAAATACAGAACTCAAGTGGAAATGCTAGTGACCAAAATATCAGAAGGTTATATCTGAAAATGTTCTAAATTTTAGTCAGAAATGTTCATATTCTGCATATAAGCCTTTTACTTTATTCTAAATGTATCATGCTTTTAATGCTAATAACTAAAACCAATAAGAAAAAATAACTTCTTGTATGTAATTTATGACAATATTTTGCAAGCCTAACCCATCAAATATACGTTATTTTAGCCTCACATGTTTTAAATCAGTGACTTTTTTACAGTTAAACTGTACTTCCAAATGTCTATTTTCTGATTTCCAAGGAATAATAAAAAGCATGGTTCGAGAGCATTGTAATGTTAAAGTTGATCTAGCAGTCAATTTGTTTTCATTGCAACTCTTTAATTGCTATTTGTCTAGGGGATAGTGATCCTAGAAGAATGTCGACTTCCAAAAGACATTTTGAAAAAGCAAATCCAATTCGCAGACCAAGCTGTTTCATTAAACACTACAGGGAATCCCCAGATTCCTCAGGAGAGTCAAGATCCTTTACCAGAGCAAGATTTTGAAATGTCACCAAGTAGCCCAACACTACTTCTTCGCAATATAGAAAAACAGGTAATGTGAAGTAAGAGTAAAGTGTGAGTGGCATCAAAATGACTTTCAATTGATTTTATAAACTCTTCAAATAAACGTGTGTCTCTGCTTAAGATATTGGTTATTAAAGTTGGCCGTTTGACATTAAATACAATTAAAATATTTAGTATATATAGTCTCTATTATAATATTGATATAATTAAAGTTATTTAAATATAATATGTGGGACTTCCCCAGTGACGCAGTGGTTGAGACTCCATGCTGCCAATGTTGGGGGCCTGGGTTTGATCCCTGGTCAGGGAACTAGATCCCACATGCATGCCACAACTGGGGAGCCCACGTGCCACAACTAAGGAGCCCGCCAGCTGCAGCTAAGACCCTACACAACCAAATAATAAATAAATTTTTAAAATATTAAAATAAATTAAATAAATAAATATAATATGTAAAGTGTTGGTACATAGCTATAGGGTGATAACTCATTTATACTAAGGTTGGAAAATCTTGTTTTCTAACAAAATAGCTTATCATTGGACTTTTCTCATGGGGAAAGAACAGTGGTACCACTTAATAGATCTGAATGGGGTGTTTGATTAATTTATTGATAGAAAGTTTTAGTGAAAGATAACATTAGAATATAGATTCTTTCATTAAAAAATGATCATGGAAATAGAGAGTCTAATAAACTCCTAATAAATTAGTTTGACTCCAAAGCTTTTCCTGGTATTTAAATCCTCTTACGGATGACTCCAGAAGTTTAATTATTCTGTCCTATATTTATCCTTTGAAATCAAAACATTTTTTGCAAGATTAATATTTAAAATTTATTTCATGTTATTTATAAAACTTAAATGAAGAAGAGGTTACATATATAATAGCCAAAATATCAAATGTATAGAAATAGACAAGAAATATGAAGGTATTTTATAAAAAAATAAATATCAACTGCATTACATAAAATAAGAATAATTGAGTCATAACTTGTACTTGAATAGGAAAACACATCACTGCAAATCACAGTAAATTTATTAACCCAATGTGAACTTAATAAAAAAATAGCACTAAGACTTTTTTGAAAGCTGATTGTTGATACTAATATCTACAAAATAGTAAATGTGCAAAAACGTAGATACATTTAAAATACTGAATGTAATATAAATCAAATATTTTATTTGGTAAGCAGACTAATCAAAAAACTAAGGAAATAGAAAAAATATTAGCCATTTATTTTAATGTAGACTTTGGTGGCTCTTAAACAAACCTGGCTTTCTAAGAGTTTGTTAACTTGCAACTGGATTGAATCTGCCAGAATATACTCAGTTGGGACCACAGCTGCATGATTACATTATTCCAGTGGGTAATATGTATTCTCATCCCTGCCCACATTTAATTTTTCTGTTGTTGTTGTTGTAGTTGTTTTTTTTTTCTGACATACATTGTGAAATAATATAGTACCAGATTACTACTGTCTTAATCCTGGTAAGTCAGAATGTGGAGTAACTTCTCCCACCCCATATTTGTTAAGTTTGCAATTGCCTAGAGTTTTTCTTAATTTTCCAATTTCCAATGCATTGTCAAAATACTATTATGAATATTTTATAATTCAGAAAGTTATTTTGTAATTATCTGGTGTTAAACTGTAATGCACTTTACCATATAAGTGGTGTTTTAAATCAATACTGATTATATTCCTCTTCCCTCTTTTTTTCCCTCCCCTCATCCCTTAGGATCAGTACCTTTTCAGTTTGATCCTAGTTATTTCACACGAATAACGTGAGCACTTGATCAGTAGACCTTTGACTCTTTTTACCTGTAGGTCACTACTTATCCTTTGGAAAGAGTTTTCTTGTATTTTTTTCCTTCTTTTTGTTTAATATTTATTTATTTTATTTATGTATTTAATTTATTTTTTTGGCTGTGTCGGGTCTTAGCTGCGGCTTGCAGGGTCTTCGTTGAGGCACGCAGGATCTCTCGATGTGGCACGCAGTCTCTTCCTTGTGGTGCTCGGGCTTCTCTCTAGTTGTGGCATGCGGTTTTTTTTTTTTTCTGTAGTTGCAGGGCATGGGCTCCAGGGTGCATGGGCTCTGTAGTTGTGGCCCGTGGGCTCCAGAGTGCATGGGCTCTGTAGCTTGTGGCAGGTGGGCTCTCTCGTTGAGGTATGCGAGCTCAGTAGTTGTAGCACGTGGGCTCAGTTACCCCCCAACATGTGGGATCTTAGTTCCCCCACCAGGGATCGAACCCGCTTCCCCTGCATTGTAAGGCAGATTCTTTACCACTGGACCGCCAGGGAAGTCCCTCTTGTATTTTTTCTTTCTCCTTGGTAGCACCAGTTTGTTTGGTTGGACGTGAGTTCACATCAGAACTGGCTAGTTTGCCGGGCCCAGGGCAAAATGAAATCACACAGCCCTTTGTTAAAAAGTTTTAAGTTTTAAGCCAGTGACAGCAGAACATTAACCAAACATGGGATCCTTCTGAGTGCAGCCCCATGTTACTGCACAGGTTGCTCACCTATGAAGGTGGCCTTGGGTATCATGTTCATTTTAAGTCCCATTGCTGACAGGAGTGTCAGAGGCTTTGGGAGGGAAAGGAACCAGGAGTTGTGAGAATACTAATGGCTCTAGACATGGAGAGGAAAAGGATGCAGAAAAGGGCAACACAAATCACTTGTAGAGGTCATTTATAAATTACCTGTGAACAGGTAATGTGCTCTTGAAACACATGCTAATAATGTTTTTATAGGCCAATTAAAAATTAAGTTGTTTTCAAATACTCATTGAAGAAGACAGTCTAGGGGTGAGTAAATGGAAGAAGGGGTGGCAAGCCTGATATTACACATATTTTTTTAAAATATAATCTATTGGTATATAACTGTTTGCCTGCCGTAGTGGAACTTGAGTATAGATCAGGTAATCCTTTGACTTGATTAAATTTACTGTTAGAGGAATGTTTTGCTTACCAAACTTATTTATGTTCCTCAAAAACAACTAAAGAGTTGGCAGTTAAGCTATAAAGGCACTATTGGGTTGTAGACTGATATGTGTTTTAAAAAATAACATTGATTCATAGTATTAATGCATACTTCCATTATTAGATAATATATTTTGTTCATAAATTGAAAGGTGACATTATTTTAGAACTTCAGATAATTTAAAATAAATTTCACACAGGTATATTTACATTAGAAACCTCATTATAAATAGCTAGTAAGTGTTTTGACTTTTAAAGTTGATTTTTTTTTCAGAGTTCAAATTATGCCTCTCCTAATTTTACTTTTATATTCATTTTTACCGTGAATTTTCTATCCCAAATATGGACTCAAGTATATGAGGTTTTCTTGGGCAGGAGTGGGGTGGTTGTTAGGGTAAAGCTGGAGGTTGGTTGTGACGCTGTCACTCTGGACCAATTGTTCACACATACTGATTAGCGACCTCCAATGGCTAAGAAGATTTTTAGATATTTTTGGAGGTGGAACAATGAGAAGAGTGTACTTTATAAATTTCTTTGTATGACCAAATTAATGAATACTTGATAGATGGATAAAGAGTGTATTGGTGATTTTGAAAACTAACTTTAATCTAAAAATGTATAATAATTTAAAAAATAAAGTCATTAGATATGTATTATTTTTCAAGAAAATAAGTGGTGAAAACATTTCAGGGTCTTCTTCATGGAAGACTTTTTGAAGAGTTCAAATATTATATTTAACTCTATCATATTCTCTAGTCTCATTTCTAATAGCATGTTATTTGTTTCATACAAATAGAGTTGCAAAATAATTATTCCATATGCCCTCGTATTTTAGAATAGAATATCCTTCAGTTAATAAAACAGTGAAATATGTCTATATATTTTTAAAATATAGTCACACTATATTAAGTAAGAAAACCAGATTTTAGAAAATTGATGCAGCATAATTTACTAAAAGGATGTGTGTATGCATGTGTGCATACATTCATGCTCACATATATTCAAAATAAAAAGTTTTTTCTTGGGGTATGGATATATACCAAGATATTAGCAATGGTTTTCTCTGTGAAATATGATTACAGGTTATTTTCTTTTCATTTTTGAAACCTCTTCATACTTTCCCTTTTTTCTACAATGAACTACGATGGATTACATGTGTAATGAAAAATGTTGTTATCCTTTTGTAGAAGTGTACTCTTTTCCATTGATGTGGTTTATGCTTATTATAATTGTTGTATGTGACTGTTTTGAGAATAATATAATATTTATTGTATATTACAAATATCTTACATATAAGTTTGGGATAAGGGTCAATGAAAATTTGGGGTACCTGAAAAAACTGGTATATTCAAATTAGGAAAAATACTGAGAAGTAGTATGGTATAGGATTCAAGCCTAAGTTTGAATCCTAGCTCCATTTCTTACCAATTTTATAATCCATGATCGAGCTGCTTAATCTGTCTTTGCTTCAACTTCCTCATCTGTAATTGATTTTAATAATAGTAGTGTCAGTAGTTCTAATATTATCTACTTTGCAAGTTGGTTGTAAAGATTAGAAATATTCTATGTTTAGTGCTTAGTATAGTACCTGGCACATAGTGAGCACTTAATAAATTATAGCTATGAGTTTGTTATTATTAATTTGGCTGCGTCAAAGAAAATATTTATGTAGATTCTATCAGCTGAGCTTAAATGTTATAGAGGATAGGATGAGTAGACAAAAGAACTGAAGCAAAAAATGATATGGAAAAAAAAGGGTACTTTAAAATGTAGATTTATTTATAATAATGGAAAAATCAGTAATGGTGTAAATTGTCTTTGTAGAGTAAAATATTTACTAAAACATAAACATTTACTTGTTTCATGAGAAGTTAAACTTTAATAGGCACTAAAGGTCTGAGATTTAGCCATATTCCTTGCTTAGCAGTAGTAAAAGATTTACTGTTTTCTTGCAGAGCGCACAGTTGACTGAGATCATCAGCAGTTTGATTGCCCCTCTCAACTTGTCCCCAATGTCATCACCCCTCTCCTCTAAATCCTGTAGCCGTAAATGTCTGGCTAATGGCATTTCCAGGAGGTAGGTGTCAGTGGGATAGTTTTGCTTCTAAATTTGGCTTTGCTTATTTTGTTTTGATCTTTTAAGTATTATAGCTTCTTTTTTCTTCTTAAGCATTATTAGAGTACAATCAATAAATCATGGATACATATTTAGATAACATCAAACTTTTATAACTAAGGGAACTATAAACCTGAGAATGAGGGATAAAGCTTTCCAGGAAGTTTCTAAATTTTTATAATGTTTCTAAAAATGAAAAACAGTGATACCATTTGCTACAGAAGTACTGCCATATTTAATATACCTTCCATTTTATACATTTTATAGTCTTCAGCTCCATACTGCCCTTGCAATACATTTTAAGAGTGAAAGACCCTACATATAGTTTGGGCATGGAAGATTGATTGGTAGATATCATCCATAAAATTCAGCTTAAGTTTTACTCATGTTGTAAATGAGTCATTTTGGTGGGTATTTTTTGTTTTGTTTTGTTTTTATTTTGGCCGCACTGCACAGCATGTGGAATCTTAGTTCCCTGACCAGGGATCGAACCCGCACCCCCTACATTAGGAGCAGGGAGTCTCACCCACTGGACCGCTAGGGAAGTTCCCCTAAAATGAGTCATTTTGTATCTCAACTTTTATAAGGTAAATTTTTTACTAAATGTAATTAATATAATAATTCCTATAATCCTTAGCAATTTATTATATCATGTTAGCAAAAAATATAAATATTATGAATCCTCTTTTGGGAACAACATTTGTTTTCTTTATTTTGCTTACATTTCTCTTTGAATCTTTCCTTTTAAAGATGCAGTTAGAATTTAAAAAGCTACTAGAATATTACTTTGTGTGTGCATCTAATTTTTTTTTCAAATAAAATTGCAGTGAGGGCTTCTTTGCTTTAAGTACCATAAAAGGACTAAGTGTAATTTAGTATCAGAAATATTTATATTAATAATTATATGATTTATTATTAAATTAAAAAATAAAACAAGAAAGGAAAATTCATACCATGGTAAAAATTATGTGAAGTAGCTATCAGCTTCTTAATGAGACTAGTGGATATAAACTAGTCTTAAAATAAAAATGCTGTTATTTTTATTTCTAATTTATTATTTTGAAAGTCTAATTTTTAATACTTTTACAGTTTTGTTTGTACTGGGTCATGTTTACATTGTTCTATTATGGAAACAGTTATTCTACTGGTTTTGCTTTATTTTTGTTAACTTTATATTCATTCCTTGTAACGCTGATGATTCACTTTGAAAGGAAAGATTCTCATGTGTTATACAGGATAACTATAATATCTTCATTTATGAGAACATTTTCTCATTAAGAAAGTCATAATTACAAGTTGAGCCATTAAACACCGTCAGATTGTGATTTTGGGCTAAGTCAATTTTAGGTAATATTTTATTTACCTAACTAGGCATTACACTATTATACATATACATGTGTGTGTGTGTGAGTGTGTGTGAGTGTGTGTGTGTGTGTGTGTACTAATTATCATTTTAATGTACTTACCTATATTTTTGGTCATTTATTCACAAAGTATTTATTGCATAACTGTTTGCTGTATGCCATATAGTCAAAGTCCTAGGAATACAATGATGAAGACAAGATCTCCACTTTTAAATACTTACAGTCTAGTAGATGAACCATGTCATTGTTTAAACTAACATATAATAATAATAGAATTGTGTGCAGTTGTTTGAATATTTGGTTTAAATAACTGTCATAGTTGAAAAACATACCTCATAAAGATATATAAATCCAAATGAGAGACCAGAAACAAGATGGTGGAGTAGAAGGATGTGCTCTCACTCCCTCTTGTGAGAACACCAGAATCACAACTAGCTGCTGGACAGTCATTGACAGGAAGACACTGGCACTCACCAAAAAGATACCCCACATCCAAACACAAAGGAGAAGCCACAATGAGACGGTAGGAGGGGCACAATCACAGTAAAATCAAATCCCATAACTGGTGGGTGGGTGACTCACAGACTGGAGAACACTTATGCCACAGAAGTCCACCCACTGGAGTGAAGGTTCTGAACCCCACGTCAGGCTTCCCAACCAGGGTTCCAGCAATGGGAGGAGGAATTCCTAGAGAATCAGACTTTGAAGCCTAGTGGGATTTGATTGCAGGACTTCAACAGGACTGGGGGAAACAGAGACCCCACACTTGGAGGGCACACAAAAAGTAGTGTGCACATCGGGACCCAGAAGAAGGAGCAGTGACCCCAGGGGAGACTGAACCAGACCTACCTGCTAGTGTTGAAGGGTCTCCTGCAGAGGTGGGGGGTGGCTGTGGCTCACCGTGGGGACAAGGACACTGGCAGCAGAAGATCTGGGAAGTACTCCTTGGCGTGAGCCCTCCCAGAGTCTGCCATTACCCCACCAAAGAGCCCAGGTAGGCTCCAGAGCTGGGTTGCCTCAGGCCAAACAACCAACAGGGAGGAAACCCAGCCCCACCCATCAGCACTCAAGTGGATTGAAGTTTTACTGAGCTCTGCCCACCAGAGCAACAGTCAGCTCTACCCACCACCAGACCCTCCCATCAGGAAACCTACACAAGCCTCTTAGATAGCCTCATCCACCAGAGGGCAGACAGCAGAAGCAAGAAGAACTACAATCCTGCAGCCTGTGGATCAAAAACCATATTCACAGAAAGATAGACAAGATGAAAAGGCAGAGGGCTATGTACTAGATGAAGGAACAAGATAAAACCCCAGAAAAACAACTAAATGAAGTGGAGATAAACAACCTTCCAGAAAAAGAATTCAGAATAATGATAGTGAAGATGATACAGGACCTTGGAAAACCAATGGAGGCAAAGGTCGAGAAGATACAAGAAATGTTTAGCAAAAACCTAGAAGAATTAAAGAACAAATAAACAGAGATGAACAATACAATAACTGAAATGAAAACTATGCTAGAAGGAATCAGTAGCTGAATAACTGAGGCAGAAGAACGGATAAGTGACCTAGAAGACAGAATGGTGGAATTCACTGCTGCAGAACAGAATAAAGAAAAAAGAATGAAAAGAAATGAAGACAGCCTAAGAGACCTCTGGGACAACATTAAATGCAACAACATTCACATTACAGGGGTCCCAGAAGGAGAAGAGAGAGAGGAAGGACCCAAGAAAATATTTGAAGAGATTATAGTCGAAAAATTCCCTAACTTGGGAAAGGAAATACCCACCCAAGTTTAGGAAGCGCAGCAAGTCCCATACAGGATAAACCCAAGGAGAAACACGCAGAGACACATAGTAATCAAATTGGCAAAAATTAAAGACAAAGAAAAATTATTGAAAGCAGCAAGGGAAAAACAACAAATACCATACAAGGGAACTCCCATAAGGTTAACAGCTGATTTCTCAGCAGAAACTTTACAAGACAATAGGGAGTTGCATGATATACTTAAAGTGATGAAAGGGAAGAAGGTACAACCAAGATTACTCTACCCAGCAAGGATCTCATTCAGATTTGATGGAGAAATCAAAAGCTTTACAGACAAGCAAAAGCTAAGAGAATTCAGCACCACCAAACCACCAAACCCGTTCTACAACGAATGCTAAACGAACTTCTCTAAGTGCAAAACACAAGATAAGAAAAGGACCTACAAAAACAAACCCAAAACATTAAGAAAATGGTCATAGGAACATACATATAATTACCTTAAACGTGAATGGGTTAAATGCTCCAACCAAAAGACACAGGCTTGCTGAATGAATACAAAAACAAGACCCATATACATGCTGTCTACAGGATATCCACTTCAGACCTGCAGACACATACAGGCTGAAAGTGAGGGGATGGAAAAAGTTATTCCATGCAAGTGGAAATCAAAAGAAACCTGGAGTAGCAATACTCATATCTGATAAAATAGACTTTAAAATTAAGAATGTTACAAGAGACAAGGAAGGACACTACATAATGATGAAGGGATCAATCCAAGAAGACGATATAACAATTATAAATATATATGTACCCAACATAGAAGCACCTTGATAAATAAGGCAACTAGTAACAGCTCTAAAAGAGGAAATCGAAGGTAACACAGTAATAGTGGGGGACTTTAACACCTCACTTACACCAATGGACAGATCATCCAAAATGAAAATATATAAGGAAACAGAAGCTTTAAATGACACAATAGACCAGATAGATTTAGTTGATATTTATAGGATATTCCATCCAAAAACAGCAGGATTACGCTTTCTTCTCAAGTGCGCACGGAACATTCTCCACGATAGATCACATCTTGGGTCACAAATCAAGCCTCAGTAAATTTAAGAAAATTAGAATCATATCAAGCATCTTTTCTGACCAAAATGCTTTGAGATTAGAAATCAGTTACAGGGGGAAAAACGTAAAAAACACAAACACATGGAGGCTAAACAATACGTTACTAAATAACCAAAAGATCACTGAAGAAATCAAATAGGAAATCAAAAAATACCTAGAGACAAATGACAATGAAAACACGACGATCCAAAACCTATGGGATGCAGCAAAAGCAGTTCTAAGAGGGAAGTTTATAGCAATACAAGCCTACCTCAAGAAACAAGAAACATCTCAAATAAACAATCTAACCTTACACCTAAAGGAACTAGAGAAAGAAGAACAAACAAAACCCAAAGTTAGCAGAAGGAAAGAAATCGCAAAGATCAGAGCAGAAATAAATGAAATAGAAACAAAGACAACAATAGCAAAGATCAACAAAACTAAAAGCTGGTTCTTTGAGAAGATAAACAAAATTGATAAACCATTAGCCAGACTCATCAAGAAAAAGAGGGAGAGGACTCAAATCAGTAAAATTAGAAATGAAAAAGGAGAAGTTACAACGGGCACCTCAGAAATACAAAGCATCGTAAGAGACTACTACAAGCAACTCTATGCCAATAAAATGGACAACCTGGAAGAAATGGACAAATTCTTAGAAAGGTATAACCTTCCCATACTGAATCAGGAAGAAATAGAAAATATGAACAGACCAATCACAAGTAAT